GCGTGCGTGCGCGTGCGTGTGCGTGCGTGTGCGTGCGTGCGTGCGTGTGCGTGCTTGTGCGTGCGTGTGCGTGCGTGCGTGTGCGTGCGTGTGCGTGCGTGTGCGTGCGTGTGCGTGCGTGCGCGTGCGCGCGCGTGCGCGTGCGCGTGCGCGTGCGCGTGCTCGTGTGCGCGTGTGCGCGTGTGCGCGTGTGCGCACGTGTGCGCGTGGCGTGTGCGTGTGCGTGTGCGTGTGCGCGTGTGTGTGTGTGTGTGTGTGTGTGTGTGTGTCCCTGGGCCCTTTTAATCTTGCATGGTGTTGCAGGCTCCTGCGAGGCCCGACTGACCCGGGTTTGGACTGACCCGGGCCAGTAGAGCCCCGAGTGAGGGAGCGCCTCCATCCATTTTCCTGGAATCTGTCCCATCGCACCCCCAGACGTGTCCGCAGAGCGGTTTGCCTGAGACCGCACCGTCTTCAAGGAGTACGGCGGTGGGTGTGACAAGATGAAGCACGAACTTGCTTCAACCAGGCCCCAGGTGGGGTCCAAGGACTGGCGGAGGAAGGAACGATAGCTCCAGTACGGAAAAGCACGACCGAGCGCTACCTCCGAGCTCAGGGCTGCAAGGGGGGAGTGGGCCAGGGGCCCGGCACAAGAGCAAAGTTGTTTGCTGGCCAACACGTTCGGCGACGAATTTTGGCCACCACGCTGCGAGGAGAACGCCTATTCACATATCCGCGCTGCGGAGGCAGCGTAGGCCGCAGAACCAGCGGATTCGGTGGCAAAGCATGGGAGCCTGGTATACCCTCTTAATTCCGTCCTTAGCGCCGACTGGCGTCGATTAGCGTCTGGTATTCGATGAGATCGCGCCGATTTGGCGTCGGCTAGCGTCGACCAGCAGCGATTCAGCGTCGGTTTTATCGTCGATTAGCGTCGGCTCGCAAGAGCCGACAAGATGATATGGGAGGGCCCCCATGAGTTGCCACCGAAGGTGGAGACGTTCTCATCGCTGCGGGAGCCGGGTCGACACTGCGCGCCCTGCGGGAGCACTGGCTTTACTGGCCCGCGGCCCGTGACCGTCGAGGCCGTCTTCGAGCACGCGTGCGGCGCCGCTCGCGCTGCCCGCGCGCCTGCCGGGCGTGGCGCTCTCGTCCAGCGGGGCGCGGCCGCACGGCAGTGTTCTGTCGAGCAGTGGCGAAGCGTCCTGGCGTGCCTGTAGGCCTGCCAGGCAATTCTCTGAGAACCTTTTTGTGGTTTCCACGAGATGTTCTTGGAACACTTCTGGCTGGGGCTGCCTTGTTTTACCACATCGGGTTCATGTTCTGAGAGCATTGTTTTTGTTCTTAGAACATTTTTGGGTTCTAAGAACATGTCGTGGTAGGACTACAGGAATGCCGGGACGGTCGGTCCCTGCTCAATTCTGGGCCTCCCAGGCGGGGTCGGAGCAGACGGGGTCGAAGGATCGCGCCGCATCGGCGATGCATCGGCGATGCGGTGCGATGCGGCGCCCCGATTTTCTTCACGCGGGCGTCGCCCATGCATCGCCGACGTCGCCGGTGCATCGCCAGTGCATCGCCGATGTATCGCCGATGCGGCGCGATCCTCCGACCCCATCTACTCCGATCACATGTAGGAGGTCTCTAAATGTTGGTGTCCGCTGGATCATTGCCATTTTCGGGGAGGTGGC